GGGATGAACTAGGATGCAAAAGAAGGCATCCTTGAGGTTGAGCACAGTAAACCATTTAGCATCCTCAGGGACTTGGACTAATATGTTACAAGGATTGGCCATAAGGGGTTGTACACGAACCACAGCATCATTTACTGCTCTGAGGTCATGCACTATCCTATGTTCTCCATTTGGCTTAACAACTGGCAGAATAGGGGTGTTACATGGAGACTGGCAGGGTACCAAGAGGCCATGTTTTAAGAAGTTATCTATGAGGACTTGTAACCCTTTTTTTGCTTCCAATCTTATGGGGTACTGTCTCTTGTTAGGGTAAGTGGCTTCTGGCTTAAAGCTTATTTTTACAGGTTGGGTGTTTCTGGCCCTCCCAGGGACTCCTTTGTCCCAAACTGGTTCACTGGTTGGAGAATATGGCTGGGAACAGGCCCTTGCTCTTCTTATTGATCTGCCTTAGTCAGGGTCAAGATAAGGGGCTGCTTGGGGCCTCCTAACCGTCATATGGCCCCAAGGGAGCCCAGAAGGTCTCTCTCCAGTAGTGGCATAGGACACTTAGGGAAAACCAAAAAGGCATGTGAGATCAAACACTGTTCAAATTGCCAAGTGAGAGCCCTAGTGAAGTAATGGGTGCGAGGCTTTCCGTCGACACCACTCACTGTGCAGCTTTTAGAGGAAAGGGGTCCAGCGTGAGAATCAGGCCAGAGTATGTGGCTCTGACATCAATTTAAAAATTGATCTTCTTACCTGCCACATCAAGAACGACCCAGGGCTCCTTGATGGAGACAGACATCTCATGGGGGAGAGCTGCTAGAATCCCAGGGCCACCTCAGTTGCCCAGCACGGCCATCTCAGGAGTGGGGGACCCTCTTCCCTGTCGGGACCAAAGGCAGTCCCATCTCCAATGACCAGTCTGCTTGCAGACTGGGCATGGCCTGGGGGGCTCCTCTGGCATTCACGGGCCCAGGGGCCGGTTGACTTGCATTTGAAGCAGTCCCCTTGTTGGTCTTACCTCCAGACTGATGGTTGAACCTTCTTCTTGGCCCCTTTGGGTTGCCCTGAAGTTGCAAGGTAATTTCAGCTTCAGCGGTGTGTCTGACAGCAAGGGCTATCAGTTTACCTTGCTTGAGCCTTGGCCTGCCTCAACTCACGCCAAGTTCTTTCCTCCTCCTCAGTTTGATCTCGATTATTAAATACCCCAAAGGCTACCTCTAGGAGTTTGGGCATAAGGGTTTGTGGGCCTAATTGTAACTTTTGGAGTTTTCACCTAATATCAGGGGCAGACTGTGTGATAAAATGTTGTCCTAGCAGGGACTGACCCTCGGGAATGGAGGGGTCTATGTTAGTAAATTTTCTAAAACCCTCCACAAGCCGTCCCTGAAAGAAGGCTGGGTTTTCTTCTTTCTCTTGGTTCACTTCCATGACCTTATCATAGTTGACTGGTTTTCTAATGCATTTTCTCATTCCTTCTAACAGGCATTGAACCACGTGGTTCCTGGCCCTCGTTCCCGCCAGGGACTTATAATCCCAAGGGGGATCCTGATTTGGGACTGCATCCCCACCCATATCATAAATGTTGGGTTGGTCCCTGGAGAGCTGGTCAGCATGCCCCTGGGCTGCTGTCCAAATCCTTTGCTTCTTTCTCCTCATGGGTACAGCAGGTAGATAGTACTATTTGGACATCCTTCCAGGTTAAATCAAAGGCCAGGGTTAGGGCCTGAAATCCTTCAATAAATCTACTAGGGTCTTTAGAAAATTGGTCCAGGCTTTGTTTGCACTGGGCTAAATCGGTTAGGAAGAAGGGCACGTGTACTCTGATTGTGCCTTCGCCATTTGCCACTTGCCCAAGAGGGCATATTCTCCCTGATCCTCGGTGATAGGAAGTCCCACTACGGGTTACCCCTGTGGGACTAGCTTTTTCATCCTGGGGTACCAGTGTATATAGAGGGTATGCATAGGAAGGCGAGGTTTGGGATTGGCCAGGGGGATCCCGAGAAGCAGGGGTACTTGTAGGAGTCGGAGAGGCTCGGTTTCTCTCCTGAGAGTTTGGGGGAGTTAAATGAGGACCGTCTAGAATGTCAAGAGAATTCTCTGATTCTCCAGGCCTCTGATTACCAGAGCCGCATAGAGCAGGATTCTGGTAAAGGGACATGAAGGCCTGGACATAGGGAAACTCAGTCCATTTTCCCAACCTACGGCAATAAAGATGCAGTTGCAAGATGGTTTTATAATTTAGAGACCCATTTTGGGGCCATGTTTCTCCATCCCCCAACATATAAAGGCCAGGCAGTCTTATAGTAAAACTTAAGCTTTTTTTTTCTTAGCCCGTCTAATTTTAAAAGCTTCCAGTTCTTAAGGACACATCCCAGAGGTGTTTCTTCTGGCTTAGAAGGGGATCCTCCCATGTTGAGCAACCTGCAACCAAGGACGAAGAGGCTCACCTAGGAATGGAATCCGGTGTCCTGGAAACATTTACCAGGAGGCTTTAATTTGGAAGGGGTTCCGAGTGTCCCCTAGATCCCCATCGACCCTGAATCAGACGTCTCTGGTTGAACTTAGTTCCTTGCGCAGAGAAAAATGTTGCAGTTGCCAGGGATTCCTTGGGGAGGATATTTTGATTATATAGTCATTGTCCTATGACTATATAAGAGATTATTTTTCTTACACTGGGGTGTATCCCCCGGGAACAGGAGTCTAAAAGATTCAGAACATGGCTGCATGGACTCAAACAGCCCAAAAGGCTGGTGTGGAAGAGCACATGGGCAAACTCCCAGAGTGAGCTGCACCCAATAGGGGTGGCTTAGATCATTTGCATGGGGGCAGTCTTCCAGGTTGTCTCTGGCCAATCATCTTGCTTTTGCCCATATCTGTCCTGACTCAGGGTCCTTCTTGGGGCATCACACGCATCTCTCAGTCTAGATGGATTCCAGTGCAAAGGTTTCTGGGAGGTTGGCAGGACATATCATGGGCTGGCATCTCCTCCTTCCTTTGGCCCCTCCCCTAGAGTTATGTTGTCCCGAATTCCTTAGGGGATGACTGAGGACTTTCTCTGCACATGTGTCAGGCTGAGAAATCCCCTTGACCACAGGATGAGGAAATTGTGGTCTCAGGGCCCAATGCTCCTCCTGCCATCTTATCTCAAAGTGTCAGCAGGAGACTGGCTGCAGCTGCTCAGCCTGGAGCCCATCTATCTCCTACCTCACTATTACAGAAGGATTCATTACTTTGCCAAGAGGTTTACTAAAGACAGTTATTTCCTCATAACAATTTCCTGACGGGGGAAAAAAATCTATCATCATTTAACCATTAAATTAGATAGGTAAGAGGGGCTGACCTAATTTAAATGCACCATGCATATAGAAAACAAATAGGATCAGAGTTTAAGAAACATGTTAGCTCAGTGAAGAGAAAAAATGTGAATACTGATAAACAAATGGCAGAATTAAATGAAAGGAAGAAAATGAAAATAAAAGGTAATACTTTGGAGTCTTAATTTACCCTCCATCTCAGTGCTCAGTAAGAGGTAAATTTCTATTTGCCCAAGATCTGCAGAGAGCATTCTGACTCTGAATGGTTCCCTGCTACCACAACTCTTCTTGGAGGATTGAAAATGGGTACAAAATCTTTCCAGATTTGCTTTTAGAAAAACCACTGTCACATTCAATATCAAAATCTTTGGATGGTCTTGGATGTTAGCCTAAGGGGTCTGGCCTTTAGTCCACAGGAAAGGAACACCATGACCCAGGGATGTGCTTTCAGATGATAAATCTGAAAATCAGGGAGTCCTGAGGAACAAGGATGTCTGTTAGGAGAGTGTAACAGTCTGAGCTAAAAAGTAATAAAAACCTCAGTTAGCAGAATTAACATGAAAGATAGTGAGAAGAAATTATGTACATAAGATATCATAAGAAGACAATATAATCACAATGTCAGGGAAAAAAAAAAAAGGAGAGGGTTAGGGGGAAACGCCATAGAGATTGAGAATACTATGGACTGAAGAGGACCAAACATTAGGTAAGTAAATAAGGATCTGACTGTGGATACTCTAACCTAAAATAAACAGCCTTCTTCAAGAGGAAGTTTTACCTTTAGGACAGAAAGAAAGTGAAGTATGATGTGTATTCACTTTGGAGAGATCCCTAGAGCAGGCAGAACACCCAGAGTATATTCATTACATTCTTGCTTTAATCTGAATACAGGACAGCCAAGCCAAGAGTGAACTCTACATTTAACTTCATCCTAAAGGACCCCAAGTGTTACCATAGGGTTTCCTTACCTAGGGTCAATCTTCTTTTTACCCCTTTCTGAAAAGAAAAACACTAATGATATTCTTTAAACCCTATTCTCCTACATTTGTTTTCTGTTTATATTGGTAGGACAAACATTATTTCCATCTACTCTGACTTAAAAACACATTTCATAACATGAAAGTTATAAGCTTTTCACTGAGGAAACAAATCAGAAAATAAGGCTCAGGGAAGCTTTCTTAGCATACATATAAAATGCCTCCAAGCAAAATAAATAGGGGGAGGAGCTAGTGACAGTTTCTTCATCAGTGAAATGAAAATAATATGTAGCTTACTGAGCAGTTATAAGGATCAAACTAGATCACTTATATGAAGCACCTACGATAGTCCTTGGCACATGCTATGGGCTCAAAAAGTATTTATTATTAAGATGACTTTTTTAATTCCTTAATACTCAAGTTAGTCATATAACTAGTGAACTAGACAGAATTCAGATAAAAGACTCATTTGTTTTTGTTGTTTGTCAATTATTAAGTGTATGTCCCCTTCAAGTAACAGTATGGAGTATAAAAATATTAGAAGAATTAGTTTCTACCTTCCTCAGTCACTGATTATATAACATCACACTTGACTTGAACCAAAGCTAAGCAGAATTTGAAATATGTTAAATATACATTAGAAGGAAATAACTATAAAAAATAAAAAACATTTTTTAGAAAGAAGAAAATAGTTACTAAAATATATCAACCATGAAATTCTCACCTTGTCTTCTGGACAAGAAACTGCTTCAGATCCTGAAGGATGTTTCCTGTTTTTCGTCCAACTTCTAAATACAAGTTTGGTCGATCAAAACCAGTACAGGTAATGTGAGGATCCGTCAGTTTTAAGCAACGTACAATGTCTTCTCGGATTGAAGAACTTGCAGTAGCAGTCAGTGCAACAATTGGAACCTGAAATAAGTAAAAGTGATTTTTAACCAAGGGAGGAGCTCAATAATTCCCAACATCTACTGCCTCTTAGAAAGAGACTGGAAGACAATTACAGGAGGAACAGAGGAACAGGGTTAAAAATGCAACTTTAAAATTATTCTCTTTCAAAGAAGAGAAGAACACTTCTTTCATACTTGTTTCTCAGCCTTCTGAGAAATCATTCAAATAAAACACTAAATTCATAAGATTTCTAAATGCAATCTACCTTATTAAATTAAGTCCATTGATTAACTATCTACCTCTCCATTTATTATTTTTACATTTATATTAGTGCTGGTACAAATGAGGGGTATGTTATGTCTTATTTTTCATTAATCTATCATTCACAAGTTATAAACCCTTCATTCACTGAAAATCTACCTATACAAAGCCCAAGTCTTTTTTGTCTCCTATATTAAATATATTGGTCGATGGCTTTTCAGATCCATTGTAAAAGAAAAGCTCTCAGTGATCTGGATAACCTCTCACCAGTTTTAGTGGGTTAACCATGGCATAATATGTAAAAGAAAAAAGGAGAGAATGAAACATCTATTATTAACTGATTCCTTGAGCAACCGAGTCATGTTCTATTTTCAATCTAGCGAAGACTTCTTGACTGCCTTAGCAGCCAAAGCAGGAGGCACAGCAGGTACCAGGAAAAACATGAGTGTGTGATCTTTCAGAAATTCTAAAGTGGGGTAACAACACACCTCCCATGAAACTAGATTTAATATTTCTGTCACTATTATCATAGGGAGTTCTAATCAACTATGCTATTATTTCATAATCAGAAAAATTGTTCCTATATCATTAGCTGCTCGATTTCCAAGATTACAACTTTCTTAATACTCTTTTTAGCTTATTACAAATGCAGTAAATAATATCCTCATAACATAGCTCTTCAGGTACATCTACCTCACAAATCAGTTTAAGCAATTATCGTACATACATGAAAATTTAAGTGCAATTTGTAAAAAAGCAATTACAGAATTTGAAAAACAAGATACAATTTATTAAAAACTATTTTTACAATCAATATAGCTTTGCTGAATTAAAAATTATCTCAAAGCTCATGTAAAAAAAATCAATTAAGTTTGGGAGTAATTTTTAAATGGGAAAAAATTATATCAAAATCAATGTGACCAGGTAATTGGCATTTTTGTATTCTCTATCCTTAAATTCTGTGAAATTATTTTTAAAATAACCCAAATTAACTTAATTGATTTTTGGCTTACAATCAGACTGTTCTCTGAATTTAGAGAGTGTCTGCCTAACAACTTATATATGAATATGCCAATTGATAAAGAAGTTAGTTTCTCTAATCGAGGCTTAATATATATGTATATAGCTGCTTTATGTCTTTATAGCAAACAAAAATATCTATAGCAAATATATGGCTGAGAATAAGGAAAGTTTAAACACTGAAGTTCTTAGGACATGCATATTCTCACCCTCATAACAACAAAGACTTCCATCAATGTAAGTGCGTTACTCAAACAATTTACAAATGCACTAAAAAATGCTTGTTGTTTAACTGCATATACACATAAAGAAAGAAGTTTTCAGGATAGAGACTATAAGAAAAGAGGGCCTGGTTTGTTTCTAAGCAATATAATGTATGAGTGGATGAGCAATGCTTTTGTGAAAAGAAGGAAATAAGCACAAACCATAACACAGTTTGAACTAGTAGAAAAAAGCAGCACAGTGGTGTAAAAATCTCGTTTAGAATCAATTGTCTGAGTTCAAAGCCTGCCTTTGCCATTAACTAGATGTGAGATTTTGAGCTGTTTATTTTTTTTACACATATATATTTTTTTGGCCACACCGCACGGCTTGCAGGATCTTAGTTCCCTGACCAGGAATCGAACCCGTGTCCCCTTTGGTGGAAGCGCAGAGTCCTAACCAGTGGACTGCCAGGGAAGTCCCTTGAGCTGTTTATTTCACTCTCTGAACTTTGGTATCCTCATCTATAAGATGGTTGTAATAACAGCAGCAACCTCATAAAGTCACTGTGAAGACCAAATGGGATAAAAGGTCTAGTGCGCTGAACACAAAGGTCTAGTGTCTAGTAAGCACTCAAGATGTGTCAGCTATCACTGATATTACTGCAACAACTGAAAAGAACTCTACAAAAGAACTGCAGAGACATGGCCACTACTCCCAGACTTGCCACTGACTTTGGAAAGGGCTAACTTCTCTTGGCCTCAGTTTTTTCATCAACATATGAGATGGAGATGTTAACCTCTCTTCTAACTTAAAAATTCTCACTTTGCCACTAGAAACTCCTTATTCTAGTGACCTACTAACAGGAAAAATCAATATAAATTCCCTCCTTTGCCAACGTTCTAGAAAGTCACAGTTAAGAATGTTGCTTCCACGACTTAGAAAAATAGAATAAAGTAATGGAATGTATTAAACTTAATGGAACAATATTTACTTTCACTTCAGAAATGAACAGAATATTCTCCCTTAGAATCTTTGGTGCTTAAAAGTTATAAACTACAGGGCTTCCCTGGTGGCACAGTGGTTGAGAGTCCGTCTGCCGATGCGGGGGATGCGGGTTTGTGCCCCGGTCCGGGAGGATCCCACGTGCCGCGGAGCGGCTGGGCCCATGAGCCATGGCCGCTGGGTCTGCGCGTCCAGAGCCTGTGCTCCACAGCGGGAGAGGCCACAGCGGTGAGAGGCCCGCGTACCGCAAAAAAAAAAAGTTATAAACTACAGTGAAGTGTAAAAATAACACACAGGCTGGTTAGGAGAAAGGTGTCCATACAGCCTGGTTTGCTGGGATACTCTCAGTTTATCCTGTCATCACAGCATAGTTATTAATAGCTTGCACCTTTTCATTTTCAAAAGCAAACTGGTGTGGGTGATAAATTACCCTGTCACTCAGTTATATCAAGTTCTTAACTCATGAAACTTGTTCTTTCAGTTGGCAAATCTTGGTTTCTTTGGTAATAAGTACCAAGTTTTGTTAAAACAAGCAACAAAATGTAAATTAATCTTGTGACTATAAATTTAGGAATGCCTTAGACATACACTTCAATGGTGTCACATCTACGAATTCCAAGAACTATATCTGCTTCTAATATAGTTAGAAGTTAATCTATGTACTCTAATCTATGTATAGTTAATCTATGTACTCTATAATATCATGCTTCATTCATTCATTCACTAACTCCAGATAGTTCCTGAGTGTCTACTATGTGCTGATCTTTGTGAAAGGGCTGGGGAGAAAGTAATGGGAAGATCCAACATGTCTCATGTTTCTCACAGTTCCTCTTATTTGAATTTCAGAATTTTGAGGCTGATGTAAAGCTTTCTACCTGGCTGCTCTTTCTTGGGACTCATTTTGTCAGATTCTCTCCAAATGGGAATCTTTATGCACAATGAGTTAATGATTTTTTGCTATTTTTGAACTTACTGAAATAATATGGTGTGAAGCACTGTGGGTTTATGCCAGTTGTCCCAGGGTGATTGTGATTAGAAGAAAAAAAGCACGGAGAACAGTGAGGAAAATGAGAGTCCTACAACCACCAGGTGGCATTTCTCATCACTTAGCTAATAAAGAGAATTCATGGAAACACTAGGGGAAAAAGGTTTTCTCAGCCGTTGCTTGACGAACAACCTGTGCTACAGTGAATCATCCCAAGAAATGAAAAGAATCGAATGGAGTCCGCAGCCTGACATAATAAAAGACTTAATTCAACACTAAAAAGTGTTTCAGAACTGCATAAAACATTTAAAACTCCTCTAACACAATCCTTCTAGAATCAAACGCCCAGGAAAGGATTCAAGAAAGCAATCTTCCTAGTTTCTAAAAGCTTACTTTAAACCGTTCTAAATTAATAGAAAGCAGTCCTCAAGGAACCTGAGCCTAGTGACTTTCGCCATGCAAATATCTTCTTTCTCTATACAGGTACTATTAATCTTTCTATATTATTCATACTGCTCCATACACCATTTATTGTTTGGTACTATTGTTTCTACTTTTATAGGTAAATATGAATCTAAACTCCTTTACTGGACTATGTGCTACTTTAGGGCAGAAACTATTTTAAACTTCTTTTAAGTCATTTGCTTTAGAAACCAGCATAGTGTCCTACTGTGGAGCACTGCCCGGCCCTACCACTCACTGCCTGTGTGGGAAAGTTACTTCTCACATTCTCAGCTTTCTCATCGAAATTCATTTATTCATTTACCCCATTACTTATGGAACACTCACTATATGCCAGGTACTGTTGTAGATTTTATAAACCAAATCAGCAAAGAATATTCTAGTGGGGACCCACAGGCAATAGACAAAGTGTATTCTTAATACGTTAAGTTAAACAGTGATAAGTGCTATTTTAAAAACAGGAAAGGAATATGAGGAAAGCTGAGAGCTGGGGGAGAGAGGTTAATTTGAAATTTTGAATATGGTGGCCCAGGAGGCTAAAAAAAAAGCTAATATTTCAGCAGACTTGAGAAAAGTGAGGGATACACCATGTGAACTACCCAGGGGAAAATTATTCAGGGAGAGCGAAGAGTGGGAACAAAGCCCTAAAGTAGGAGCACGGTTGGCACCTTTGAAGAATATCAATGAAAACAAACAGTACGGCTAGAAGCCAGTGAATGAGGAGACAAGTAGCAAAGGATGAGGTCAAAGAGAAAATAAAGGCCAGATCATTTAAGATATGTAGTGTCTGTCTTTATTTAGAGTGAAATGGTCTGCAACTGGAGGGTTCTGAGCAGGAGACATGATCTGTCTGACTTAACATTTTTGAAATATCACTCTGGATGCTGTATTGAAATAGACTAAGGAGGGTAAGAGTGAAAACAGACCAACCAGGAGACTGCTGTAATAGCCAGGTGAAAGGAGACGGTGGCTTGTACCAGGGTGGTAGCAGAGATCAAGAGAGAAGTGATCAGATTCTGTACATATTCTGAAGACCTCATGAGATTTCTTTACTGTTTAAATGTGGGGTAGACTGTAAGAGAAAAAGAAGGGTGGAAGAAAATTCCAAAAATCTTGGCCTGAGCACCAGAAGGATGCAGCTGCTACTAAATGAGATGGGGGAGATTGAGGGAAGAGCTGTTCTGGGGTGGAGAGAATATTAGGAAGTTAAGAATAGGTTACATTCCAGATGCCTGTCAGGCATCGAAGTAGAGAGATGTTGAATAGGCAGCTAACGTTTATGTAAGTGTGTGTGTGTGTGTGTATACATATATTAATCCATAAAACGATTAAAATAAAAAATAGTAATAATAACAGCAAATGCTAAAAAGGAGGGAGAGAAACTGAACCACTCATACATTGCTGGTATCAATTCAGGGTGAGGATATAAATTTGGGAGTTGTCAGCATATAGATTTTAGTTAAAACCATATGTTGGTTGAAATGACCAAGGAAGTAAGTACAGAGAGGAAACAGAACAGGTCCAAAGACTAAGGTTTTAGGCATGCCAACGTTAAAAGGGCAGGGAGATGAAAAGAAATAAGCAGAGGAAACTGAGAAAGAAGAGATAATAAGGAAGGAAGAGAACCAGGGAGTGTGCTATCCTACTGGTATGAGAAGAACTGTTTCAAGAGGAAGGTAATGAAACTAGTGGGCAGTGGGGAGGGGCGACACAGGGGTAGGGGAGTGGGAGGTACAAACTACTGGGTGTTAAGACAGGCTCAAGGATGTATTGTACAACACAGGGAATAGAGCCAATATTTTGTAATAACTGTAAATAGAATGTAACCTTTAAAAATTATATTAAAAAAATTTTTTTAAAAGAAGAAAGTAATGAAGATATTTATGTTGCTGGATTGTTATGAGGGTTAACCAAGATAAAAACACTGACCCGGGCTTCCCTGGTGGCGCAGTGGTTAAGAGTCCGCCTGCCGATGCAGGGGACACGGGTTCGTGCCCCGGTCCAGGAAGATCCCACATACCGTGGAGTGGCTGGGCCCGTGAGCCATGGCCGCTGAGCCGGCGCATCCGGAGCCTGTGCTCCGCAACAGGAGAGGCCACAACAGTGAGAGGCCCACGTACCGCAGAAAAAAACAAAACAAAACACTGACCCAAGGCCAGTCCCATAGTTGGAGCTCAATTCACATTACTTTGATTCTCTTCCAATATATCCTTGCTAAGTGTTACAAAGTTTTTTGTTCTTTTGTTTGGTTTTATTGTAATGTCTGCTCCAATCAAATATTTATGAGAAGAGCTAAGAAAAAAGAAACTATATTTAAGATAGCTCTCAATAAGCACGCTTAATAAGAAATGAGGTTGAACTAGATAATCTATCAAAAGAATAACAAATAATTTCTAACACTTTTTTTTTTCGGTTTCCTCACATAAGCCAGTTCCAATAGGTGACGAACCATAAAATTCAATTTATTTAACATTGTTGAAATAACAAAATTATACAAATGGAGACCAGATTAGTGGTCACCAGGGGTTAGGGTTAGGGGTGATGGGAATGGTGGGTATGCCTGTAAAAGGACAGCTCCAGGGAGCCTATGGTAATGGAGTAGTTCTGTATCTTTATTGCAATGGAAGTTATACAAACATACATATGAGATAAAACTGTATAGGAAAATATACATACATACCCATACACACTTATAAAACTAGTGAACTAAGAATAAACTGTAGCAATGTCATATACCTACTTGATACTATACTACAGTTATTCAAGATATTACCACTGGGGAAACAGTACATAGGACATCCCTGTACATTTTTTTTTACAATTGCCTGTGAATCCATAATTTTTAAAAATAAAAAATAAAATGGTTGCCAATATTTTAAGTTTTTAAGCTCTTCGTATAAAATATGCCATTCATATAGAACACTCATGTAAAACTTTCCTGTTCTTTATAATTAGGAAACAAAGTGTGAGAACCAGAAAAAGTTTGCCAAGTCCTGCTCTATAGTATTCCTCAATAAATTACATGCCAAGCTTAGAAGGAAGTCAAGGTTAGAATTTTTTAAAAAAATCTTTCCCCTGCTTACATCATCCATTTGCCCTTTCATAGAGGAATCTTCAGCTTTTTGGCCATTCCCCAATCCTGGACTCTCCCTTGGTAAGAAAGTCATTTCAAGACATTGCACTTGGCAAAGCTTACCGATGGGAGTACTTCCTTTATGGAGCCCAAAGTTCTGAATGAACTTCTAAAATCATGTCCCCACTCAGAAATACAGTGAGCCTCATCCACAGCAATAAGTGTGATCCCTATAAAAAAAGAAAACTATGTAAACGGAGAAAATAGAGTTCAAAAAAAGTAATAAACGCATCTAAATCGTTACCACCATCTTCATTAGAATATATAAATATTACAGAAAGTAGTATAAATAATTCAAATCAAAGTATTTGGTTCATATAAAAATATAAGCATAAATAACATCAGATAACACCAAAAATCATTATTGAAAATAGGCAAAGGGAGATATATGGATAAAAGGCATATGGATAAAAGAGAGAAATATATATTTTTCAAACAACGTATTTATTGAATTTTAACTTTCATCATTATTTCTCAGAGAAATTACTTACTATTACTTTGTCCTCCAAGCTATCACTCATTTGCAACGATAATGCCCTAAAAAAAAAGAGCTGTTCTCTTTCTCTTTGGTAATACTTTCAATTTTATCTCATGGATTAGCTATCAAAAGAGATAGAGAGGCTTCCCTGGTGGCTCAGTAGTTAAGAAGCCTCCTGACAACACAGAGGACACGGGTTCAAGCCCTGGTCTGGGAAGATCCCATATTCCGTGGAGCAACTAAGCCTGTACACCACAACTACTGAGCCTGCACTCTAGAGCCTGTGAGCCACAACTACAACTACTGAGCCCGTGTGCCACAACTACTGAAGCCCGCGCACCTAGAGCCCGTGCTCCGCAACAAGAAGCCACTGCAATGAGAAGCCCGCGAACCGCAACAAAGAGTAGCCCCCGCTCACCACAACTAGAGAAAGCCCGTGCGCAGCAACGAAGACCCAACGCAGCCAAAAATAAATAAATACAGTAAAAACAACCAAAAAAAGAGAGATAGAAAGACTCAGCGTATTTCATACTAAGATTAAATGCATCACTGTCCGTGACTGATCACATATTACACTGCAGAGTTCCTCTGTAATGCCAGTTCTGGAAGACGGATGACATCCACGTTTTCTAATATAAAATGGTAAGGGAAGAACTAAATCTCATTATGTACAAAGTAGGTAAGAAGGAATGTACTTTGTTCTCTTCCCGAGCAACGCCTCTACTCTGCCCTCACACCACACACCCACACTGAAACAGAATCAACAGTGTGTAGTAACGCATTTCAGAAAAGGGCTTTATTTTATAATCATTCACTAAAACGTCTTCAGATATTTCAAAGTAGTGACAGCAGTGCTTTTGCCCTCGATCACCAAATTAATACTTAAGACAAAAATAATATTTCCCTTCAATGGGGATGATCACTACTTGATGCTTATCTGAGAATTTATAATGTTTTGCCACTAGTGAGATGATTAAAAACATGTGCTCTAGAGTCAGACTACCTAGATGCATAACCTGGCTTACTATTTATATTACCTTAAGCATGTTACTTAAGCTTTCAAGTGTCAGTTTCCCACAAGCATAAGGTAGGTAATAAAAGTACCTAACATTTTTTAGTTATTCTGAAGATTAAATTAGATCATTCATGTAAAATGCTAAGATAGGGGCTGGCATAAAAGACAGCTCAATAAAAAAAAATAAGCTATTATTATTATAGTTATTAAATTCCCACTATGTTCCAAACACTCTTCTAGGTATAAAATGATTAGTAAAATGCAATCCATGATTTTGAGGAGCTCATAATTCTAAAAGAGGAGGCAGACAGACAAGCAAATAATTACAATTGAGATTACCAAGTACAATGAGTTGGAGAAGAAAAAGAAATAAAGAAAGAAAAAAAAGAAACCTACTAAATATGAACAAATACAGGTTGATCACATCAAATTTCTATTTCCTGAGCGGCTGGGACAAATTCAATGTTACCACTATACTTATTTGGGTTTAGAAACTACATGACCCAGATTTTAAATTAAATAAATTAAAACTAAGATGACAGCTCCTCCTTTATTTTAAAACCTTCCTTATAATTATAGGTTTGACTAGCTAATTTAAGAAGAATTTTTATTTATTTATCTATTTTTATTATTTTATGTATTTATTTATTTTTGGCTGCATTGGGTCTTCGTTGCTGCATGTGGGCTTTCTCTAGTTGCAGCGAGCGGGGGCTACTCTTAGTTGTGGTGCGCCAGCTTCTCACTGCGGTGGCTTCTCCTGTTGTGGAGCACGGGCTGTAGGCATGCGGGCTTCAGTAGTTGTGGCACGTGCACTCAGAGTTGTGGCTCGCGGGCTCTAGAGTGCAGGCTCAGTAGTTGTGGCACATGGGCTTAGTTGCTCTGTGGCATGTGGAATCTTCCCGGACCAGGACTCGAACTTGTGTCCCCTGCATTGGCAGGCGGATTCTTAACCACTGCGCAACCAGGGAAGTCCAACTAACTAGCTTTTAATCGAGTTAAACTTTGCCATTCACAAGCAGCTGAGGCAAGCTTCTGCCAACTTCCACATTAAACGTGCAAGTCCAAGTGTCTGCCCAGGTCCAGGACATGTTTCATTTTGGCACACCTGTCATTCAAGCCTACTTCCAAAGTTACAAGACAATTACTGGTGTGTTTGCTTTTAAGGTGTCTCTATGTAAAATTCTGTTTGCTGCTTCTGTTATAAACCCATATCACTTAAATAATAACACATCATAAAAATCATAAATCTGAATAGCTAAATGTCAAACTACTGTACAAATAAAATTCTGAGTATATTCCCTGCTGCAAGCATTTTACAAATTCCTGCAAATAAAAGTTAAATAAAAGTATTTCAGAAAGAATTTATTCTATTTTGTTCAACATTGACAGTCAACCAAAAAGAGCATTTTCATCCATTTTATGCAGAGTACGCAGCTCTAATAACTGCAGTGTTCATAATTTAATCCTTTAGAAAAAAATTAAAATAGAGAAATAGAACTACCCGTCAAAAGGATCTAAGTAAATACTGGATTAACTCCACCACAGAAACAAAACAAATACTAAAATGGAGCAAAACATATTCAGACCACTATGGACATAGACCCTAACTTTTGCAGTAAAACCATGGAATTTATATATCTAGGGTTGTTGGGTTTAATCTAAAGTGAAATATTCATAAGAACTTCATACAACCTAATAGGACACACATCAAATTTGTTTTCCATTTAAGGCAAAAATATAACATGGCAACAGGGGAGTTTAACAGCTGATGGATGCAATTTTTGATAATATATTTAATCAAATGCTAATTTCTGTCCTCATTCTTTTGTTGATATTTAACACATATTAAAAGGTATTTGTTTTCACTATATTGTTAGAACAACTGTTAAATGCTTTCCTAGAGTTATATGCAAGTAACCATTAAATGAGACACTGCAGTGTTAAAAAACTACCTGTTAGGAATTATTTTAATAGGTAATTATAAAATGAGATCATATTACATTAGAAAGCAAAGATTGTTTGGTTCAGCTGAATGTTTGAAATATGCGCAATTACAATAGAAGCCATGACTGCAACTCTTGGATAGCTGAGCCTAACCATCAAGAAGCAAAAAACCAGGCTTCCCTGGTGGCGCAGTGGCTGAGAGTCCGCCTGCCGATGCAGAGGATGCAGGTTCGTGCCCCGGTCCGGGAAGATCCCACATGCCGCGGAGCGGCTAGGCCCGTGAGCCATGGCTGCTGAGCCTGCGCGTCCGGAGCCTGTGCTCCGCAACGGGAGAAGCCACAACAGTGAGAGGCCCGCATAATGCAAAAAAAAAAAAAAAAAA